GTCAACCAATGAATGCATAAATAAGTGGAACAACAAATCAATGTTTTTCCTATCAATATTTATCTCTTGCTCCCTCCCTCTTTCTCTAAAATAAAATCAATAAGCATATTCTTGAGGATTTAGAGAAAAAGACTAAGTAAATATTGGTTGATTGAAAAAAATACATGAGCCCAGCTCATTGGGTGAGCTTGAACCTATGAACCAAAAGGTCATTCCCCTTCAGAGCACATGTATGGCTTGAGAACTCAATCCCCAGTAGGGGGTGTGCAGGAGGCAGCTATTCAATTATTCTCTCTCATCATTATGTTTCTATCTTTCCCTCTCCCTTCTTCTGAAATAATTTTTTTTAATTACTATTGTATTCAATGTTTTTTTTTAAAAAGGTCTACATTGCAGGTTCCACTAACTTCGTCTAAGCCAGTAGTTCTCAACCTTGGCTGCACATTTGAATCACCTGGGAATCTTTAAAATCCTGATTTCTGGGCCTCATCTTCTGGAAATTCTGTTTCTTTGTTATTGGGTGGGGCCACAACATTAGTAACAAACAGAATTTCCGGAGGATGAGGCCCAGAAATTAGGATTTTAAAAAGATTCCCAGGTGATTCTAATGTGCAGCCAAGGTTGAGAACCACTGCTCTAAGCCCTGACAATCGTGTTTGCCAAGGGGTGGGATTTAGTAACTCTCCTCAAATCTGAGGAAGGCAATCTGCTCTGTCGTTTCACAGGCAGAACAAGGGAGCTCCCGCAGCAGAAGTGACTGAGGTTAGACATGGGGTTGGGAGGGGGGCTTCATAATGAATGAGGAGGGTAATGGCTTAAAAGAAAGAGGGAGGTGTGTGGCCTCTTACTGGACATTAATCAGGGCGCAGGGACGTAACTCAAAACTCACAGGTGATGTTCATTTGTACAGAAGCCTCTCAAAACTCACAGGTGATGCTCATTTGTACAAAATCCTCCCAGTCCTGCGGGCGAGGAGCTCCCCCCGCCCTGGCAGCACAGGCAGTGGGATTCCAGGTTGGACACTGGAGCAGATGAATGAGGAAGGTAGGGAGGGAAGGCGAGAGGGAGAAAGAAAGGGGGGGGGGGGAAATAACAAGGAAGGGAAGGAGGGAAGAGGAGGGAGCAAGGCGCGCACAGTGTGCACGCGTCTCCTAGGGAAGCCCCCGGCCCCGCTCACGTCTGTAGGCGATTGTGACGTCACGCTCGGAGCCACCAGATTCCTTGCTCTCAGAGTCAACAGAACCTTCAGCCCAAGCCCCGGCGACAGGGTGGACGCTGGACCATGGGCTCCAGCCAGGCCCCGCACTAATTGGGCTACTGCCCGGGCCCTGGGCTGCTGCACAGCGAAGGCTCCTGGCCCTACTAACAGGAGCTACAGCTCCCGCTCCAGCCGGACCCGGAGGTCATTCCCAGGCCCTCGGGACTCCAGTCCTCCATCATTGGTCAGCGGCTCGCCGTGAGCCCGCCCCCGGCTCTAGCCCCGCCCCAGCCTGCCCTTAGCCCCGCCTCCTTTGTCAGGCACACTAGGTCCTCGGGCCAGCCCTCCCGGATCTGCTGCCCCGCCCTCGCCTTACCACTGCCGCTATCATCCCAGGTGTTGGCATTGTCCTCAGTCTCTTTCTCAGTCCACCTTTCAACGGTCATTGTCGTCCTCACCCACATCGCTCTCGGCCCAGTTCTTCCTCTCTACCAGACTCTGAACCTCAGCTGGGCCGAGGCAACCGTAAACCCCAATGTCAGCTTCTCCCGCTTGGAGCCCTCAGCTCTGCCTCATGCTGGTCCCACCCCTCCACCCACCTTCCCAGCCCCGTTCTAAGCTGCGATGTCTTCTCAGCCCAAGACTAAGCTTCAGCCACGCTCTTCATCCGGGGCACCCCAGCGCCCGCCAGGCTCTTCCCACTTTGTTCCACTTTAACCTTAGTACCTCACCTTTAATCTCAGGCCCAAACCTTAGCTAGGCCGCTCAGGCCCATCCTAGTTCCTCTCCAGATCTACCCCCAGCTCTTAACTCTTTCCTGCCCCGACCCAGACTTTAGCCCCGCCCCTAGCCCCGCCCCCTCCATTCTCTCGACTTACTCTTCGCACCGCTCCTGGCCCCTCCCAGTCCCTTCCGAACCTCGCCGCGGCCCTTAGCCCCGCCCCCAACGTGCACGTGACACTCACCCCACGGCGTGGGGAGAGACGGCTTCCCACCTCACCCCCCATCCCGGCTCTCCTGGGGCTCCTCCAGGCCGGCCTGGCGGGAGGCCAGGATCACTTGCTCTCTCTCCGCCAGCAGAGTCCTCGGATGAGGACTGGATGTCCGATCCCAGCCCCAAGGTGGCGCCCACCGCCAGAGCTTCTTACCAGTATTCCCTTCCGGCCCCATGAGGCACCCAGACCCAGAGAAATACTGCCCAATAAAGATCTTAACAAAAGGCAGGTCTTGGTCAATTTCCCCTCCCAAATTATCATAATAGTTAAGGGTTTTGAGCTCTTCCTATGTGTTGTTGCTTTATCTTATTTCAGTCACACAACTTTATGTGTCTGGGAGCAGGATCCACTGTATTCATTATAACCTACACACATCCCTCCACCATACACCCCTCCCACCCTTAAGGATAGCATGCACAGTGCAGATGCCTGTATCACACATATAGCACACAGAACAAAATCTCACCACACACAGACTAATACAATATGCACAACACCCCTCACAGAGGCTACCCAGAATACAGAACCATAGCCCTGCTCCCCACATTTTACTCAGCACAAACACTCCACAACAGTATTGTGGTGCAGACTTCACACACACACACACACACACACACACACACACACACACACACACAGTTACAAGCTCTGTGCAAGGAAAGGGTTGATGAGTGCAGTCCTATGAGGGTGCAAAGATAAACAAAAGACAATTCCAGGAGAATGTGAAAGAATGTCAGAGCCCTACAACCGGCATTCCACACATCACGCCCCTCGATTTTTCTTGGCATCAGGCTCCAAAGTGAGGTTATACCTCAAAGGATGGAAAGGAATGGATGGTGTTTAAACTTTGTTTTCTCCAGAGACACCAAGGGCCCCTCCTGCTGCTGCTCTTCATGATGCCAACCTTCACTTTCCTCCAGACCCAGCAACATGACTGGGTCGGACCCCCGCCCAGAACCTCCAGTTCTAGGGACAGACGGGGATGGGGAAATCAGAGCAAAAGAGGGGTGTGCAAAAAAAGTCAACCCTCCCAGAACAGAGCTGGGGAAGAATGAACGCAGGCATAGAACGGACAGAGCACTTGCTGACTGGGGGCCAGGATCTGTATTCTGGTTTCCCAGGATGGCACCAGGCCACACATGTCCCTCCATGGTTGGTCCAGATGTCTGAGATGCTTCCAACTGATGTATGGCTCTGGGTCAGATGTCAACAATGAGCCAGGGTCTTGGTCACTTCCTGTATACTTATGATAGCTGAGGTTTTTGAGCTCTTCCTATTATTTGGTAGTGTCTTATCTGATTTCACCCATGAAACCTCATCAATATTATTAGCCTCATTTTATAGATGAAGAAATTGGGGCACAGAGGATAAGTGATCTGCCTGAGTGCCCTAAGAGGACACAAGAGGAGGCAAATGAGGATTCAAGTGCAGGTCATGCACGTATGTCTCTTGAAGAGGGAAAAATACACATCTTATTTTTTATTCAGTTTAGTTCTTTAGTCACGTCTTCAGATGTAAAAAGCTACCACTCATAATTTTATGTTTATACCTCTAATATAGTTAGGTATTAGATAACGTATCTTCTGAATAATAGCCAAGGACCTACCTCCCTGGGCCTTATGGTCAATCCAAAAAGTATCAAAAACTCAATCACTTCTCACTGTGTTCCCTTCAGAGAAGCATTTTTTATTTTATTTATAGATATATATTGATTTCAGAGAGATAGAAACATCAATGGTAAGAATCATTGATTGGCTGCCTCCTGCACACCCCCCATGGGGGATCGAGCCTGCAACTTGGCCATGTGCCCTTGACTGGAATCAAACCCAGGACCCTTCAGTCCACAGGCCGACGCTCTATCCACTAAGCAAAACCAGCTAGGGCAGAGAAGCATTTTTTAAAGGGAATGTGGGCCTTAGCTGGTTTGGTTCAGTGGATAGAGCGTCAGTCTGTGAACTGACGAATCCTGGGTTTGATTCTGGCCAAAGGCACATGCCCAGGTTGCGGGCTCTATCCTCAGTAGGCCTCGTGCAGGAGGCAGCCGATCAATGATTCTCTCTCATCGTTGATGTTTCTCTCTCTCCCTCTCCCTTCCTCTTTGAATCTAATAAAAAAAATATATAAAAAATAATAATAAAGGGAAGGCGGGGCCCTAGCTAGTTTTGCTCAGTGGTTAGAGTGTCAGCCCTCAGATTGAGGGGTGCTGGGTTCGATTCCAGTCAAGGGCATGTACCTCAGTTGCAGGCTCCATCCCCCGCTCTGGTGGGAGCGTGTGGGGGAGGCAACCAATTGATGTGTTTCTCTCACATTGATGTTTCTCTTTGTTTTTCCCCTCCCAATTTATCTAAAAAAATCAATGGAGAAATATCCTCGGGTGATGATTAACAAAATAAATAAAAGGAAAGCCAGGAAGAGGCAAAAGAAGAAGAAAGGAAGGAAGGAGGGAGGGAGGGAAGGAAGGATGGAAGGAAGGAAGGGAGGAAGGGAGGAAGGGAGGGAGGGGAGAAGGAAGGAAAGAATATTACCCAGTGGTGGAAATTTGGGTATAAGCACCAAGTAGGAGGACACATTTGGGGAAAGGACTAAAGGAAAGGGCTCTCAAAGCCCAACAATTCAGATCTCACCCAGTGACAGTGCAGCCCCGCCCCCGCCCCCCCCCCAACATGGTCCCTGAGCTCCCAGAGTGCCTGAGGCTTGCCCAGGGGCCAGAGATGTCCAGCATCCCAGCAGGAGGCTCCAGCCCCAAGAACACACACAGCCCTGCCCATTCCGTTTCCCTCACGCCCAAAGGACTTCAACCCCCAGGCTGCTAATAACAGAGATTTTAATGCGTAAGGCACAGTGTGAGGCTGGGATCATTTAGCATCCTCCTACCCCCAAGGCCCAGCATGTTGAGCAAAAGCGGCAGGGACCACCTCCCCACCACTGGGCACCCTGCGGAGTCCCTGGATGAGGGGGCATCCAGTCTTTGGTATGGTGCCCAGGGGCAGGAAGTGACTAGCATGGTCCCAACTACCCCTCTGGGGGTACTGCCACCAACGGGCAGCTCTTTGGTTTGGACTAATAGTCATTGCAGATGTCCAGGGAGAGAGTTCCAGGCAAGTCAAAGTGGCACAGTGCCCCAGGGCTGGGCAGTCCCTCACAAACAACATGTGGGCTTCTTCTTGCTGGCAGTTAGGTAGAGGTTATTGTCATCACTGTTGATGCCTGAAGAAGAGTGGGAAATAAGTGACGCAGGGATTGGAGGTTCCCATGCTTTCTGCCACCCTCATCCAGGTGGGAACTCACGGACAACATCCCCGATGCGCCGGGCCCCTGATTTCTCCAGCTCAGCCAGCACGTTGGCCTCGAAGGTCAGTGCCGCCACACGGAAAAAGAATTCCCGGACATTCTCACCTGACAGAAGGAACAGGTGGGTGCTCAGGGGCAGTTCCAGCCTAGGTTCCCTGGGCACAGCTGGGGTTGTAGGAGCGAGAGGCAAGGTAGGCAG